TTAAATCTGTTTGCCTCAGTTTCCTCAACTGTAAAAGAACAATAACTGCCCCCTCCCCCCTTCCTCTCCTGTCCCTGCCAGGGTTACTGGGAGGATCAAATGAGATAATATTTGTAAGGCACTTAGCACAGTGCCTGGAACATAATAAGCACTATATAAATGTTATCTATTGTTATTGTTATTTCAGTAATAATAATTTTTTTTAAAAACTTCTTTTTGTATGCCACCCTATGGTTACAAAAGCATTTTTCTTGCAAAAACCCCACGAGGCCAATGTTATAAGTATTATTGTTCACATTTTACAGAAGAGAAAATTGAGGCTCAGAAGGTTTAGGTGACTGGCCCATGGACACACAACTAGTAAATATCAGAGATAGTAGTTTGAATCTAGGACTTCCTGACCCCGGGTCTAACCCCTTGTCCAAGGTCACACAGGAGATTCCTCTTCTAATTCTAATATCTAATATCTAATGACATTCATTCCCACTGCACCACAACTGTGGAAAGTTGCCCTTGAAGACTGCCAGGCAATTTCATGCCAGTCATGGCATGCTTTAGCTACTGGGAGTCAAGTCTCCATCTCTGTCTCTGTCTCTGTTTTTAACCCTATAAACAGGCCTCAAGAGCCAGGATATCACAAGTGGATAAAGGGCTGGCCTTGAAGTTAGGAAGACCTACTGTGCTCACATATGAGCTGAGTGACAATAGGCAAGTCACTTAAGTGCTGTGGACAGCCTTCTAAGATTATATGTCACAGACAAGTTGCTTGTCTGGATTGGTGGAGGGAATTTCCACTCTGGGAGTTCCTTACACTGATGAAAACACTGGAAACACTCCCTATCTCTAAAGGGCATTGCCGTCCCCAAGGAAGTGATCATTTCCCCTACTTGGGCTTCCCCATTTTCCCATGGCCTTGCTCCTTCCCACCCCATCCTAAATCCACCTCCATTTCCTTTAAATAATACAGAGATTACTTCGTGTGAAAGCTAATTTAAGCAAAGTAACAGAGACTGTATTTAATGTAAATGGAATAAGCAGAATAGGAAAGATTTATGGTAATAATAACCTGCTTGCAATAATACCGAGTAGGTCACCTACCTAAGAAACAGTGGTTTAAAGAGAAGGAAATTTACCTCCCCAAAGAGCTTGGTACAGGTTCAACAGAGTGTTACCTCATGGTCAAGACCCTCTAATCTTATTAAATGTCATCAATCTTATTAGCTGTGACCACGTCCTTCCCTGGGTCATTGGGATGTCTGGGATGAGGACTGAAATAGGACAGGGGTCCTGGGAGTCAACAAAGGCTGAAGGAAGAACCCGGGAAGAGGGCAGCCACCCAAGAGCCAGAGCCTTGGCACTGAACAGACAATTTATAGAGATCTCTTTGGACATGCCCCCATCCAGGAAAGCTCCTTGAGCCCCTGCCTCCCTTCAAGGCCCAAATGCAAGGCCTCCTCCCCACCTGCCCCTCCTTAGCCCTCCCTACTCCATTAAGTATTATATGTCCACTATGTACATAATTTATATCTACTTATCTATGTACAGGGTATCTCCACTTGGTAGAATATAAATTCCTTGAGGGCAGGCACTCTTTTGTTTTGCCTTTATATCCTCAGCATGTAACACTGTGCTGGGCACACAGTAAGTGCTTAATAAACAGTTGGGGGGAAGCTAGGTGGTGCAGTGGAGAGAGTGCCAGGCCCAGAGTCAGGAAGACTCATCTTCCTGAGTTCAAATCTAGCCTCAGACATTTACTAGCTGTGTGACCCTGGGCAAGCCTCTTAACCTTGTTTGCCTCAGTTTCCTCATCTGTAAAATGAGCTTGAGAAGGCAATGGCAAATCATTCCAGTATCTTTGCCAGGAAAACTCCAAATGGGGTCATGAAGAGCTGGACATGACTGAAACAGCCGAAGAGCAATGAATGCTTGTTATTGATAGGTCCAGGAGCTCAAGAGAGAATAAAACCAAATGCCTGACCCAAAGAGATGAGACCAGATTATGAGCTGGTCACAAGTTCATAGGGAGACCTAGAAGAGAAGAAGCAATAAGATCCCCAAGCCTAGGCCTCCTCCATCTGATAGAACAGCTCCTGCCCAGCCCACTCTGCCTGCTCAGAGGTACAAGAGCCCCCTCCCTACAGCTTCCTCCCATCAGAAGGAGAGAGAACCGATTCCCCTAATGGCTTGCACTCTATGACTGGTTCCACCTCATCCCCAGCCTCTCCCTCCACCCCTACTCCCCCTCCCCGATAATGGTTTGTTAGGAAATTGGTAATTTGGAGAGGATCATTAATGCAGTGAACAGCAATATTACACAAAAGGATTATGGCTGGCTCCCTAATGCACTGCGACTTTATGAATGTGTTTGCATGAAATCTCCCCATTACACTGATGTCCTCCTAGGGATGGGAAAGGGGCACTGAAATGGGGAGTAGAGAGGGAAGCAATTTCTGAAAAAGGAGATGGGGCTGCTTGCAATAATCCCCCAAATGATAGCCTGTTATTTGTAACTCCTTAAAAGCATACTTAGGGGCAACTAGGTGGCACAGTGGATAGAGCACTGGCCCTGGAGTCAGGAGGAACTGAGTTCAAATCCAGCCTCAGACACATAACACTCACTAGCTGTGTGACTCTGGGCAAGTCACTTAACATCAATTGCCTCACCAAAAAAAAAAAAAAGCATATTTCATTTATAGTGCCTGCCATGCAAGAGATGCTTAATAAATACTTGTCGACTTGACTCAACATTAATTCACTTTCCTCATCTGTTATTTTAGGGAATATGTTATTTTAGGCCCCTTCTCAGCTCTAATAGTCTATGATTCTGTGGTAACCTCATATTCAGCATTTTTGCCTAGTGTGCAGGCATGGTGAGGTTTCTTCCCCCTAAGATTAATTCCTATCTCCTATAAGACAAACTCAAAAGGTCCGGCCCAGACTACGAGTTTCCCATCAAGAGAACTCCTAGAAGACGGGCTCATTTGGGGCAGCTAGGTGGCACAGTGAATAGAGCACTGATCCTGTAGTCAGGAGGACCTGAGTTCAAATCCAGTCTCAGATATGTAACACTCGCTAGCTGTGTGACCCTGGGCAAGTCACTTAACTCCTATTGCCTCGCAAAAAGAAGAAGAAAAAGATGGGCTTATTCTCATTCCTAGCAGTCGTGTTCTCTTTGATCCACTGACACCAGTCTCCCGACTGTTTCATACACAAGATGCTCCATATCTCTGGGCTCTGGGCATTTTCTCTGACTGTTCCCTATACCTGGGCTTCCCCTCTCTTCTCTGCCTACTAATCTTCCTGGCTTCCTTTAAGTCCCAACTAAAATCCCATCTTCTATAGGAAGTCTTCCCCAACTCCTCTTTTTCTAGTGCCTTTCCTCTGTTAATGATTTGCTGTCTATCCTGTATATAGCCTGTTTATATGTATTTGTTGTCACCTCTATTAGATTGGAAGCTCCTTGAGGTCAGGAACTGTCTTTTGCCCCTTTTTGCATCCCCAGAGCCTGGCAATGAGTAGGAGCTTAATAAATGTTGATTGATTGATTGATTGCTAGAAGTGAAGGGAAAAAGGGAAATGGAGGCCTAAGATGTCTTTCCAATATAGAGAGATAAGGGAGGGGAGCATTCTGTTCACCGTCATTTCAGAGGATTCCATGAGGAAGAGAGTGGGATGGCATTAGGCTTCCTGAAAAGAGATGAAATGGCCTCATGACTCATTCTGCCTCACTGGGCACTGCCAATATTCTAATTGTTCTGTTTGGGTGCCAAGTGCAGCATTTGGAGCAATAAGGAAAAGTTTCAGATGCAGAGAATTCAGTTTGGTAAACAAAAATTTCATAATGGGAAGGGAAGGGAATTAGCATTTATCAAGCCCCTACTATGTGCCAGGCACTGTTGCTAAGCTCTTGACAAACATTATCTCATTCGATCCTTACAACAACCCTGGGAAGTAAGTGCTGTTATGACCCCCATTTTATGGTTGAGGAAAATGAGACAGACAGAGGTGGAGTGACTTGCCTAGGGTCACACAACTAGTTAAGTGTCTGAGACCACATTTGAACTCAGATCTTCCTGACTCTATCCAATGCAGCTGACCAAAATGGGCTGAGAAGCCCCTGGACATAGGGTTCCAATTATATGACCATTCATTGGAAAGGCTATAGAGGACTTGTGTGATTTGATTAAATTGCTTCTCAAATCTCTTCCAACTCTGAAATCCTATGATCCTAAGAAGCACTTATTCTGTAATCTCCTTTAGGATTTAGGTCTACTTCAGGGATCTGGATGGAACCAGTTCCTGGACCTGTCCTTGGAGTTAGAATCACTGGGATAACCCCCAAACTGGCCCAGTCTCTAACTCTCAGCATACTACCCAACCCCTCATATCCTGAGAATATGAGGAGGGCCCTGGCACACTATCAGAATGAGACTGGAGACCCAGCATAGGCTCAGAGGCAGCTTTAATTCACAATTTTAGGTTCACACAAGAAGACATGGAACTGTTCCTGGAAGCTCAACTAAAAACAGTTCATGGGATCATTGATTTAGAGGTAGACGGGACCTTAGAAGTTAACCCCCTCATTTTACAGACGAGGAAACTGCAATCCAGAGAATTAATTTGCCAAGGGTCACACAGCCAGTGTGTGTCAGAGGTAAGACCTTAACCCAGGTCTGCCTGGCTTATAGTAGGCCAGTTCTCCATCCACTCCACCGTGTTGGGATGGGAGTACCATGGAACTCTGGTTCATCTCTGCCACTGTGCTCCTGCTGAAATTATCATCAGAAATCTTCTTACAAGGCCCCTTCTTTTCTTGTCATCATAAAGAAATTGCCTCACTTTAAGGTCACAATTAGAGTTTTTCATTACCCTGCAAAGATCATTATTTCATCAGGTCTCCTAATGGAAACATTGTTTCAATCACAGCCCCACCCCCGCCAAACCAATGCTTGTTTATTTCTGTGTAATGTGAAAAGGAGACCAAAGTGGATCATGAACTCTCCAAATTCCCAAACAAGTTTGCTTGCTAATGAGATCGGGGGATCCTAGCCCTTTTTTTGGACAACTTCCTACAGAGATGCCTCTTTAGCTCACTCCATGGCAGCTGTTTAATGAAGTCAGGTCTTTCCTAAAGGGCTATCTAATGGAATTCCCCAATGTTAATGGTGAGTAAAGGGATGGCAACAACTATACTCCATTTCAGGCTTGGGGGAAGGTAGAGGAGCCTCTGTCCCTACAGATTTCAGCTCCCCCTAGGGGGAAGTGGGGCATGGGTCCAAAGTGATCTTGGACTTACAAGTCTTATACTTTCTTCAAAGAGGTTTTGGAAGGGTATGAATTATTCAAAAGGTAGACTGGTAAAAGAGAGTGAGATAGAGTGGCATTGTATATTTAAAAATAGATTCAAGTAAAGAAATCTAGGAACCAGAGAGAAGAAGTTTAGGGAGAAAGCATTTGGATGAAGATCAACAGAGGCAGAAACAGAAGGGATATTTGTTATTGAAATATTCTATAGACTACCTAGACATCAAGAGGAAATAGTTGAGTTCAGAAAGTATATCACAGGCCTGGCACAGAGTCAAGATACAGTTGTGATGGGGAGTTTCAATTATCCAGATATCTGCTGGAGCTCTCTTGAGCTCTCTCTCTGCCAAAAACAAAGCAGTCAATAATTTCTTGGCTTCCCCTAACTGTAATTTCATCCTTCAAAACCAGCCAGTTGGTTAATAAGGATTTATTTAGCACTTACTATGTGCCAAGATTGTACTAAGCTGTGGGAATAACCCTACCCCAACCCACCCCAAAAAGGTAGAAACAGACTCTACCTTCAAGGAGGTCACATTCTAATGGGAAAGACAAGAAGTAAATAATTGTGTACATACAAGATATAAAGTGAGCAGATGTAAGGTAATTCCAGAGAGAAAACACTGGGTTAGGGTAGAGGGCAGGCAGGAAAGACCAAAAGGTGGGATTTGAGCTGAGTCTTCTAAGAAGACTGGGATAGATGAGGGTTATTTCATCTTCCAACTCCATGCCTCTTAACTGTTCCCCACGCCTAGAATACTCTACTTCTTCACCTCTCCCAGTCTGCAGTGGGGCTAAATGAGCTGCCCAGTGTCACACAGCTAGTAAGTGTCAAGTGCCTGAGGCCAGATTTGAACTAAGGTACTCCTGACTCCAGGGCTGGTGCTCTATCCATTCCACCACCTAGCTGCCCCCTCTCTCCCAGGCTTTCTAGAAGACTCAGCTGAAATCCCATCATATACAAGGAATACAAAGAGGCTGATGACACTGAATCATGGAGTATGTGGAGGTGAGTAGACCATAAGAAGACTGGAAAGGTAGAAAAGGGCCAGGTTGTAAAGGGTTATACAGACCAAACTAAAGATTTTATATTTGATCCTGAAGGTGATTGGGAGCCACTATAAGTTATTAAGTAAGGGGATAACATTGTCAGACCCCTGAGAGCAACTGCTGTTCTGGATCTGATTGTCTTCAACAAGGAAGAAGTGGTTGCTAGGGCGCAGAGTATGGGAATCTTAGGAGGAAGGAACTACTCCATCTTAGAATTTGGGTTAGTGGAGGAGAGGAAAGCCTGCCATAGTCTGACATTGAGCTTAGGTTTTGGGTAGATCAGACTTCAAAGGGTTCAGAGAAAGAAGGGCTAAGATCTTGTGGATGAAAATTATAGATAAGTCAGCCAGACAGAGAAGCTCTCAAAATATTCTGATGACTCACAAAAAAAAATTCCAATAAGGAGAAAAAAGAGTTTTCTTTAAAAAAAAAAAAAAGAGCAATGTGGATATGCAATAAAATCAACAATCAACTTGGATTTTTTAAAATATGTATATTATATATAAATGTATATTAAAATATATGTAATATAGAGAGACTATGTACACATACACACATATATACACACATATGAATATTTGTGTGTGTATCTATGTATACGTATATATACATGCATATGTGTATATGTGTATCTATGTATGTGTGTATATATATACATAGACGTGTGTGTGTATATGTGTATGTGTATATGTGTGTGTGTGTGTGTGTGGTAGAAGAATAGCCAACAAGGACCCAGGCCTTAGAATGTGTTTCTATTTTCCCCTCCTGGTGAGTTATATAAAGCATTTATAATTGTTCTCAGCATGATTGCAATCAAACAGGTGAAGGCTTAGTTGAGTCTACTTCTGGCCATGAATGACTAAGGAAACGGTATTGTGTGAACCAGGAAGAGGAAGAAGCTGAAGTGAGAGTGGAAGAAACCTAGAGGTACCACCATTTAAAAAATTATTATTATAAATGTTTCATGTTTCTTCTTTCTGACCATCATTATCATCATAAGCAACCAAGGAAGTCATCAGACCCATCAGAGGTCTGACCAAACCAGAACTGGTATCACGGACCACTAGAGCTGTAGTGGTCAATAAAAGTGGAAGTACCTACGAGAAGATGTAGAAAGACAAGGAGTCATTCTCTTCAAGGAATGGGACTCTTGAAGAGAAAAGGTTGGGTTATGCACTCTAGAAAGGCACTAATCCTTGGAGCCCAGTCAAGAGCTACCCTTAAAAGGATCTTCATAAGGATTCAATTAAAAGAGAAAATGTTTCTCACAGTCAGTTTTAGGGTACCCCTTGGCCTCATGTACCTCTTTTTCTTGAGCCTACTCTAATGCAGAACCTTGTATCTGTAAGCAAAGAGTGTACTCATAGATTGGAGGGAATGTTTTAGAACTACTGCTTTTGCTATACAGTTTCAACAAATACCCTTTTATAAAAGCTAACAAATATCTAACTGTGACCACATTAGATGAGGATTTGTGAACAATAGTGCTAGGAGCTATAACCCCTTAATACTGCCTGTAGAACCTTGAGGAGGAAAGTAGTCAACCATCCACTAAGGATCCAACCTTTCCATATTAGTGAGAGTTGGGATAATGGAGGAAAATTATGAAAGAGTAGCTTAGCACAGTGCCCCAGGGCTTAACACAGTACCTGGCACATGATAGGTACTTAACAAATGCTCATTGACTGACTTAGTGACTGACATGTTCCTGTCAGAATAATGTCAGGAACACTCAAATTCAAAGTGAGCTGAGTCTCAAGAGGAAAGTGAAGGACAAGGTCAGGATGGGAATAATTATAGTAGAGAAGAGGCAGCTCTATTAGTTTCAGAATAGTTGTTGGTCTATACTTGTGGAAGGAGCTGTGGGACCTGGAGAAGACAAGTCTCTGAAATTTCAAAATCAGTAAAGGGAAGTCTGCAAACTGTAGACCAGTGTCCTTGACTGATGCCTAGCAGTATTCTGGAATATATTGTAAGAGTGTGCCCCTTTCAGACTTAAGCAGATCAATTTGCACCTTGGAAAAAATATAAAACCTTGAGGAGGCTCATTTTCACCTTGTAGAGGAGCTTTGAGCAGCTCATTTGGATATGAAAAGACAAAGAAAGCAGCTGTACAAACAGAGTGTCCCAGGACCCAGACTGCCTGTCACTTCTCCCTACCTATTCATGGATCGTGTACCAACAGAAAGACTTTAAAGTTTAAAAAACTGAGGAACCCTGACCCCACCATCCTGAGCAGTTTGGGATTAGTGGACAGATGATCATTGCCTGGTTGCGGCTTAACCTTTGGAGATTTCAGAAGTGTATTGAATAACCACCATGAGTTAGGGTAAAGTCTCTCAATCTCTGTTATCAGGAAGAGGAATTGTAAAAAGCATTGAGCTAAGCCTTAAAGGGCTTGTCTTCCTGGAATGATCTGCTCTCCCCACTCTTGTCCAAGAGATAGCAAGACTCAGAGCTGAGGCCCAGGGAAGTAGAACTAGGGTGGCTTCTTTCTGTCCTGGAATAAGCATCTATATTTTTTTTCCTTTCCAAAAAGGTGGGACACCAGGAAACAATCAGAAGGACAGCTCTACCATCTATTACAATTGTGGAGACACTGGTTATGTTCAGGTTGGATGTACTCATGAAGAAAATGAAGCTTTGGTGCTATGAAACTAAGGTCTGTTAAGACCAGCAGTAGGAGGAAAAGCAGGGTCCAGAGAAGGAACCATCTCTGAAGATTTAAAACAGTGAGGATGAACTCATCATCGATCATCTATGGAGTTATGCCACCCAGATTCATAGGACCCTGAATAAAGTTAACTGTGATGACTGGGGGTGTGGCATATACTGTTGTCTTGAATAACAGAGCACAAAGTACCATTGTTTCATGAGACATATTTAAGGAAAATACAGCTTTTGGAAGGTATTTGGTGGGGGTAGGAGAGGAAGGAGGATAATTGGGAGATGGAAGAAGAAGATGAATAGGAATTCCAAAATATAAAGATGAAAATAGGATCAATGAAGCATGAAAAAGGGAGTTCAGAGGAGGACAGGGGGAAAGCAGTACAGTTTTGAAACTAATGTGCTGGATTTATTTGTTCAGGCATTTTTCAGTCATGTCTGACTCTTCATGACCCAATTTGGGGTTTTCTTGACAAAGACACTGGAGTGGTTTGCAATTTCCTTCTCTATACAGATAAGGAAACTGAGACAAGCAGGGTTAGGTGACTTGCTCAGAGTCACACAGCTAATAAGTGTCTGAGGCCATATTTGAACTGATGAAGATGAGTCTTCCTGACTCCAGACCTGGCATTCTATCCACTGTGCCACCTAGCTGCCCTGCTGAATTTATTACATCCTTTTGAAAAGGAAATAAGCTAGGCATCAATCAATCAATAGCTATTACTAAGTGCCTACCATATGCCAGGCAATGGGGATACAAGTACAGAAAATGAAATAGTTTCCATTTGCAATGAACTTAAATTCTACTGGGAGAGATAACAAATACGTGTAAATAAAAATACATAAAGCCCAAAGATAATAAATAGAAATATATACAAAATAGTTAAATACAAGGTAGTTTAGGAAGAAGGGCACTTGAAGTTAGAGGGAATCAAGAAAAACTTTATGCAGAAGACGGTGCCTAAGGAACCAGGCACCAAAGAAGAAAGGGACTCTTTGAAGCATAGATAAGGTAGGAATACATTCCAGGTGTAGGGTATAGTCAGTGCAAAGAGGTATGTTGCATGTTAGGAGCAGAAATAAGGCTAGTTTGGCTGGATTGAAGAATGAAGAGGGGATCATAATGTCCAATGAGCCTGGAAAGACAGGTTGGAATCAGATCAGCATTTAAGGAGAATTATTTTGGCAGCATCATGTAGGATGGACTGGAGCATACACACACACACACACACACAGAGTATATGGATATATCTATATATATCTTTAAAGATAGAGTGTGTGTGTATCTATATGTATATGTATATTTATGTCTATGCATATATACACATATATTAATGTCTGTGTATATGTATATATATGCATATGCACGTATACACACACACTATGTTATTAAAGTTTTTGATATGTATTCGTTCTTTAAAGCCTCACACCAACCCTGTGAGATAGATACCATAGGTGCTATTATTCCCAATTTACCTATGAGGAAACTGAAGCTAGATAGTTTAGAAATGATTTGCCTATAGTCATACAACTAATAAGTGTTAGAAAACGCATTTGAAGGGGCAGCTAGGTGGTGAAGTGGATAGAGCACCAACCCCGGATTCAGGAGGACCTGAGTTCAAGTCCAGTGTCAGACAAATAACCCTTACTAGCTGTGTGACCCTGGGCAAGTCACTTAACCCCATTGCCTAGCCAAGAAAAAAAAGAAAAGAAAAGATATTTGAACTCAGATGAATCTTGATGCTATGCCCAACATACTACCCACTACTCTGGGATATCTCCCTTGAGGTCTTCAAGGAACAACTGGATGACAACACTTGTTGAATATTTTATAAATGGGAGCATGCTCGGGTGCAGTTTGGGCTAAGTGACCCCTGGAATTCTTTCAAATTCCGAGACTCCAAGATTCTGTGATTCTTTGGGGAAAGATATCACAAGTAGGGACAGCTAGGTGGTGCAGTGGATAGAACACCAGCCCTGGAGTCAGGAGGACCTGAATTCAAAGCCAGCCTCAGATACTTACTAGCTGCATAATCCTGGGCAAGTTACAAGAAAGAAAGAAAGAAAGAAAGAAAGAAAGAAAGAAAGAAAGAAAGAAAGAAAGAAAGAAAGAAAGAAAGAAAGAAAGAAAGAAAGGAAGGAAGAAAGGAAGGAAGAAAGGATAGAAAGAAAGAAAGAAAGAAAGAAAGAAAGAAAGAAAGAAAGAAAGAAAGAAAGAAAGAAAGAAAGAAAAAGAAAGATAGATGACATGTAAAAGTCTCATAAAAGGAGAGGCTGTCTTCTGCCTGGGGCTGGGTAGATCAGAGGCAGAACCAGCAGGCTCTCCAAAGGATCATCTAAGATGCTCTGCCCCATGATCACACTCCATTTCCACTGTGGTCCCCAAAATACTGAGCATCTGAGAACATGGGAGAATCTCTCAAATAAGAGAAGGGATTATATGATTTAGAATTAAAAAGTTAGGAGGAGAAAACTTTGTAAATGAGTCAATCCTCCTCATTTTACAGATGAGGAAACTGAGACCCAGCAAAGGGAAATGACTTGCCCAAGGTTACAGAAACTGCAAATTTTAGAACCTGAATTCTACCTCTGGTCCCTTGACTCCAAATTCAGGGCTCTTTCTATGATGCTCTGACCTCTCCCCATCTCAGAGAACTTTCAACCTACATATGAGGACCTAATCTGAACTACTTTGTACTCACTGCGGCTAAGCAGCCAGATGGAGCAGCGGGAGGTGGCAGCAATGGAGACTGGGGAGCCATGGAAGCCAGGATAGGGAGGGATGCATGAAAGACTCGTCTATGAATTACAGCAGCACTGAAGAACAGCAGGCCTCCTCACAAAAATTACACCTTTTAATCTAAATTTGATGAAACCACTGCTGTCATTTAGCAGAAAGATACTGAAGGAAGATGTGCACTCCAGAAAGATGGGAAATCGGAGAATGTTGTGCTTTGCCTTGCATCTTTTCCTCCACCTCTGCCCCCATTTTCTCCTTTTTTTCCCTTCCATTTCAGTTCTTGACTTTACTTGTGATCTCCAGGGAATCGGGGGTTATTTTAGTCCAGCACAAGAAAGTCTTGCTGGAGCTTTTTCTAGTTTCCTGGAATATCGATGCCAATGCTAGGTTACCTGAGTTCCCTTAAAGAAAAAAAAAGAGAGTTAAAAAGGGGGTCAACGTGGGAGACCCTTCCCAGGAAGCACATAGTAGTAGAAAGAAGGCTAGATGTGAAGGTTTCAGTTCTAGTTCTGCTACTTTTACTCACTTTTGTGACTTTGAACAAGTCACTTAACCTTCAGGACCTCAGTTTCTTCATCTGCAAAATGAGAGGGTTGCACTAGAATCAGATATTCTTAAGCATTTTTTATGTCATGGGCCCTGTTAGCAGGCTGGTAAAGCCTATAGATACCTTCTCAGAGAAATGTTTTTAAATTTATAAAATAAAATATAGGATCACAAAGAAAACCAATTATATAGAAATCAATTTGAAAAAAAAAAGTTCACAGAACCCAGGTTAAGAACCCCTAGAATAGATTATCTCGAAGATCCTTTCCCAAGCTAAATCCTATGATCCTATGATCTAATCGGGACACATCTCCCAGGGAAAGAGCCATGAGCAGCCTATCTAGGGTTCTGGGATATAACACTCTTTCCTCCATTTCTCTACAGGCTACTCCCAAGAGGCCTCTGGGAATATACTCTGTTGCCCCTTGCTAGTATCTTAAGCTGGAATGGGCCAAGAGATAGAATAACAGACTGATAGGTGGGTTACCCGTTCTCTATCTGTTCGTAGATTTTAGAGACTTAGGGAATATGACTATTTTCTGTGTCCCATCCTTACCATGCTTGAGAAGCTTTTATTCAATTTTGTTTGGCACTACAGTGCTATGCCATGACATAGTGGGTAGAACGTCGAGCCTAGAGCTCCAAAGATCTGAGTTGAACCTAGCCTATAACACTTCCTTGCTTCATGACCCTGGGCAAGTCACTTCATGCTTCAAGCATCTCCCTAGGACTTATCTCCTAAGTTGTGATCAGCATAACAAACTCAGAAAACTGTATGTTTTTGTATATGTTGAATACTCCCTACTCAACTAGAAGCTCCATGAGGGCAGGGCTTGTATTTTGTTTCATTTCTTCCAGCACATAGAATATTTCTGCACACAGTCGTTGTCGTTGTTATTGTTTAGTTGTTTCAGTTGTGTCCAACTCTTCATGGCCCTATTTGGGGTTTTCTTGGCAAAGATACTGGAGTGGTTTGCCATTTCCTTCTCCAGCTCATTTTACAAATGAGGAAACTGAGGCAAACATGAAGTGACTTGCCTAGGGTCTTGCTATAATGTCTGAAGCTGGATTTGAACTCAAGAAGATGAGTCTTCTGAATTCCATGGCTGGCACTCTATCCACTTCACCACCTAGCTGCACAGAGTAGGTGCTTAATAGAAAGTCCTTGTCCTCCTTGAGCTTATAAACTAGAGTTAACATTCTTTTGTTGTTGTTGTTGTTTTGTTTTGTTTTTGCTAGGCAATGGGGTTAAGTGACTTGCTCAGAGTCACACAGCTAGTGTCAAGTGTCTGAGGCCAGATTTGAACTCAGGTCCTCCAGGGTTGGTGCTCTATCTACTGCACCACCTAGCTGCCCCTAACATTCTTTTACTCATCTATTTAACAACTGTATCATGATTATCTCCACTCCTTGTCCCCATCGCCCCCAGTGTATAGGATAATGCTTTGTATATAGTCAGTGTTCAATGAATATGAATTGAAAGATTGCTTAAATGAATGAGATGCAGAAAAATTGAAGAGACTCAAGAGGTAGCTATGGGTCAATTCACCTAAAATCTTGGATTTTTTCCTACATCTTTTAAAAAAAAAGTGTTGTGAGGGTGGAGCCAAGATGGCGGAGTAAAAGCAGTGACTTGCTTGAGCTGTCCCCCAAACCCCTCCAAATACTTATAAAAAATGGCTCTAAACAAATTCTGAAGCAGCAGAACCCACAAAAAGACAGAATGAAACAAATTTCCAGCCCAAGACAACCTGGATGATTGATCAGAAAGGTATATCGCACCGGGCTGGGAGTAGAGTGCAGCACGGCTGGCCTGGAGCAGGCCT